TATATATATATATATATATATATATATATATATAAAACAATCCAACTCACATCATGTGAACAGCCACTGGAGAAAAAAAAAAGTTATTCAAAGACAACCTAAATAAGCAAAAAGAGAAGCCCTGTCTACTCTTATGACTAATGAGCTAAACTGAAAAGGTCCAATTATCTGAGCTTCAGCCTGATTGTTTGTTTACATTTACCAGTTAAAAAATTAGCAGCAGAATCCTGGATGTGCCGAAAGCATGGAGAGAGACCTGGTCGATCCCAGAATAAAGCTAATTTCTACAAAATACATTGAGTGATGTTAAAAACATGAACTATGCTTTGCTGGTCATGTTTTGACAAGTTTAAGTTCAGATCAAGGTTTGACAAAAGTCTGGAATTACTGATACGATGACTGAAATAACAAATGTGTTTTCTTTTCATTTCCTAATTTTAAGTCATCAAGGAGGTTGGAAGGAGGATGGATAGTTTGGTTTTAAAAGAAAATAAATCTGACAGTCATCTGCATACAGTGAAAAGATAAGCAGTGATTTGATAATGAAAAACAGCCCAAGAACTGAACCTTCAGGAAATCCACATAAAACAGCTGCCATATTATACTTTTTCTTTATTTAAACAGGCCTGCTAATATGATCTTATGTTGCACCATTATGGCAATTGCCATGTGAAAAAACCCCAGATATATCCATTGGCCGGGCATACAGGATGTTATCTTAACAGAATATGAGAAACCATAGGCTAGATGTCTACTTTTATCTGTAAGGTATATGTTGGATGTAATACTGCATCGCTTAGGTATTTTTAAAACCAGGTGTAGTTAAAGACACTGCACCATGGATCCTCCATCCTCTGGGCCAGTTTGCATCTTTGCTCAGCAGGATTTACAGCAATCCTCTCATGTTTCCTGGAACATTTCCACGGCTTCCACTGCAGAATTCTGGGTCGCTCCTCGCAGACCCACATTCAGACTGGAACCACTGTTGGCTGCAGGATGCCAACAGTGGGGAAGACATGACAACAGTTTGTTTGTGTGGCTACATCCCAGCATCTACTTCCAATTACCCAGAGCCCGCCGGCCAAACCACAAACTGCGTCCTGATGAGTGGAAAATGCTGCCGGCTCCGGCACAGCTCTATCTGCATCAGCAATCACTCCAACTACTTTAAGTTCGTGGATTCAGAGGCACTGGGTTCAATTATGGCCGACATTGTTCATGTTTCTCTTTGATGCCCAACGATTTAAAAATCAAGTTGTGTTTAAATGTTGCAAAGAAAAAAATACTAGAGTGATCTAAAGTGAAGGGTTTATATTTGTGATTTACTTGCTATAAAGCAAGTGGTGGACCTTTCTGTCAATAAGGCAGTAAAACTTGCTGTCAGAAGCTTCCATGGGGCCCCAAGCAAAATTTTATCTGCAGATATTTACTCTGTTTCGCAATCTCTTTTTGATTTGCATCATCTAGAGTTACTAACAGTAATGAAATAAAGTAGTAGGTGATCTATTTACAGTACAGATTTTATGTGATTTATACTTTTGGTTCAAACAGCAATATGCAAAAATAACCTGCAGTGTAAGAATAACAAATAAAATTGCTTTGATAAAGAAAATTATTTTTTTTTTTGGACAAAATCTGATATAGCAAATAAACAAAATGTCAAACTTATCATTGTTCTCCAACAATACGTTTGTCTATGAGAATTTTACACTCGACTCTGTTTTAATTTGGTTCCAAAACAGTAATGTTTATCGTGTAAGGTAATAATTCTATTTGGTTAAAGATATTTTGATAATAAAATGCATAATTTTGTCATGAAAGTATATGAATTGTTTACTATATTTATATAGAAATCATTATACATGCTTAAAAATGAAAAAGGAATTGGTTGATATTAACATTTGTTGGTGGTGAAATAAAATAAACTGGTTAAAATGACATCAGATATTGTTGAAAACAGGCTTGGCTGGAAGGGATGCAGAGCAGCACTAGCAGATGGATTATCAGGGGTCTTCAGCGTACATTTCCAAAACAAGTAGTTAAATATAACTGTATAGAAAGCCTTTAGACATTTTAATGCCTAGCTGCTACATTTTAGGTGTAAGATTATAAATTGGCCATGATGAGTCGACTTTTAAATGTTTTTTTTAATCTATATAGCACCAATTCACAGCACATGTCATCTTAAGGGACTTAATAGAGACAATTCAATCAGATCATGCAGTCAGATTAGTTCAAAGGAAAACCAGCTGATTGCATTGACTCATTGGGCCGAAAGCAATCCCTCAATTTTCAATCTTTTTTTTAGAATCTTAATTCCAGCAAAATAGTCGTTTTCCTTGACCAAGCCACCTAACACTGGTCAATATAATATTCAGGCATTAGAAGCCCCTTAAAATCATTGAATAAATTTTTATTCTACTGACCAAAACCTAAAAACTAAGGAGAAGGTTATCTTCAGGGTCTTTGTAACTAAACCTTAACACAAATTATTCCCATTTAGTTGCATTCAAGCCAAAAACTTCATTAAAGCCAAAAACTTCAGTGTGTTTAATGACTTTACATGATAAACATGGAGAGACGTTTTTATTTTCTCTTAGAAAAATAGACTAAAACTAAATTAGAATAGGTACACTAGAAAGAAACTAAATAAATTACATTACTATAAAAGTAAACAAAAATGCTATTTTTAACTGCAGTCCCTGGACAAGAGAAACATTATATATAAGTGCATACCATCAGTAAAAATACAGATATGCACACAAGTATACTTACCAATGTTGCAAAAAAGGTGGTAAGTATATGTATTCAGCCTCTTCTAGTCAAACTCCACTCAATAAAACCAGTGCTACTACTAGCCCTCAAAAATCACAGAAATATGTGTCATTTAATCTCAGTATAAAGGTGAAGAAACAATATGTTGTTCAAGGGAGAAAGCAGACATGTCGGGGATGAAGTTCAGGAGGTATTTAAAGCTGGTTTAGGATTATATGCTGGCATGAAACACAGTTATGGAGACTTATCAGCCTGGAAATGATTAAAATGTAATTTCTAAAGGTAATTACTGAAAAAAGAAAGAAGATCATTCCTGCTGCGCTGCTCAGCCCACGCCTTCAAGCACAGAGATGTTTGCATCCTTCTATGCTGCTTCTTGACAGCACAGCATCTACTACTGTCACATCATTCAAGGTCAGGGATGTGTTCATGCTGTCACTAACTTTCCCTCACACTAATTAAATCCCATAGATATTTCTTGTGGTTCCAAAATCAGCCATTAATCTGTTTTCCTTTCTGTAAATCGGCCACTCTGGCCATTAACTCCTAATTTTTTATCCAGGGTATTAAATTCTAAATAAAACAATATAACATTAAGCAGAACTTAAGACTGTTTTTTTTTTACAAGCATAGTCACGTCATGTAAATGTGCAAAGGATGAATAAATAACACTTTAAGATTGAAATCTGGTTTATTTTGGGGGTCTGTACAAGAGAAAATGCTCACATTCACAATTAACAGAAAAGAAAAATAAAATCACATCTGGTTTCTCTGACCTCTGAAACAGAGGTGTGCTCGTTCTTGATCAGCTCTTGGGTCCTTTTTAAAACGCTAAAAGTGTTTCTCTGGTAGATATGTTATACTGCATTGGCGGCTAGCTGTGCTGTGATCGTGGAGCGACATTAAGGCTTTAATGCCGTCTGGTTCGGTGCGGTTTATAAGCCGAGATTGGTGCTTTCTGTGACGTACGCAGCTCCCAGTCAAACAATTACAATAAAGTGATCATTCACACAAGTATCCATTCAAACTAGAATCAACTGTCTCCACCTGTGCGCTCCAACATCATTTATTCTAACTTTTTCTTCTTGCAGGTGAGCGGCTTGGTGAGATTGCAGCCCTGTGATTAACAATTGCAAAATGAGATCGATAACAGAAAGAAAAAAAACTATCCCGTGGGTTCATTCCTGTCCGAATCCCTCCGTCTCCTCGATGGCGAACAGCAGTTTCTCTCTGAGCTGCTCAAGGCTCCTGTAAGGCGGCAGATCCAGACGGTTGAAACTGGAATGAGCGGAAAAACGCAAAGAAGCGAAGTTATCCATCAATTTCAGGCTAAAACAGTACAGCTGCAGACGCTTCACTGAATTGACAAAAAAATCTGGAGTTTGTTACATAATACAGAAAAATAGGTTTTAATGCAGCAAATGTTATTCTTCCTGATTAGTCTGTAAATCCTATTTAAATGAATCCTGATCTGTTGCATCAGTTGCTTGTTTACTGCAACACTTTATTGCCTGTTAGAAAAACACTTGGCCCGCTAGGCACAAACAGGGCATAGGACAGTCTGAAGCATAATTCATAAACTTCAGATGCTGAGCAGCCATCAGTGGTGGCCACCGGATTCCTAAGCTGGAAAATATCTCGACTGACGACCAAAGTCCTGCAGCAGGACTTGGTGGCAGCAGGAAGTGAGTTTTCAGTTGCCACAGGAAAAAAACACTGATAGGCTCTGAACCACCCTTGACTACAGCCAGATGTGGTTCCTCCTCTCACACCATAAACCTGCAGCCTACAGAAGGCAACATGGATTTAATCAAACAGAACATGCATGGTGAAAAAGTTACTCCATCTGTGAGGAAAGATTGAACCTTGAGACCGGACAAGGATACCAAACATGTCTCAAAGTCTTTCAGAAGGAATCCTGCAAGATAAAATAGTGGCCATCAATGCTGCCAAACTAGAACTCTATTAAAGTTCTGGATTTCTAGGTTTATAGGAGCAAAAAGAAGCTTTAATAGAGATATTTGTCATAGAAACCGTTTGAGCCACATAAATTCTTCCTGGTTGATCAGTTTTTATTTATAATTTTGTTCTCTGGGGGTTAAATAATTGTAGCTATGAACGGTTTATATACGATGCAACATTTTCTAATGTCAATTTATAAAAGTAAAACAAAAGCAGCTCCTCATCAGTAAGTCTCTCTTTTTAGCGGACACTGGGGAGGAATCCTGTTTTTAAAGTCCTTCCTTAAAGGAACAACATTTTTTTTTTTTGCTGAACAGCCAATGAGGTTGTTTCTCACCATGTGTGGCTTCTTGGAAGCCAAGTCTCCTTCCCCACTTTGTCTATGCAGAACTTCTGGGGACCGTTACTTCCTGCAGGGAGGGAGGAAATAGAAAGAAACAGGAGTCATTTTACTTTCATCCAAGTAATGGTTCATTTATAAGACAGGGAGCGTCCCATTCATCCATTAATCTGTTTTTGAATAAAAAAAGTTTTCAAAACATCCAAATAGGAAACCTTTTCTAGTCCTTGCATCTTATGTGTTAGAAGACATTGTTTGGTGCTAAAACAGCAGATGGAAGGCTCGAAGTTCATTATATAAATAGGAAGAAAAACGTGTGTGGAAAACATGTTTGATTCTGCTCATAAAATTTGGATTAACTAAAACATAACATGAGCATAAAAATTTATCAAGCATGATAGTGGAGGGGTGGTGATCTGGGTTTGCTTCACAGAAACAGAACCAGAGCATCTTGTAAAAAGAAAATAAAAAATAAAGGTGTTGCTGTAAAGTCCAGACCTAAACTTCAAACAGAAATAAATGTTAAAAAGAGGAGTGGGTTATATTGCTCTCCACCAGACAGAAGATGGTCGCCTGCGCTCCATCCGCACCTCATCCCCCTTATATCCCAGCAAAGCGTCCTGCGTACCTATGAGCTCCGTGAATCCTCCGACCGGCAGCCGACAGGTTCCCGTTACAAACTGCAGCAGACGGATTCTCTTCTCATTGTCCATCTCTTTCACAACCTGCAGGTGGGTCACACGTAGACACAGTTTAATGGTTGGTAAGTTTCCTCCCTGAGAGCCGTGCTCCAATGCAGAGTCTGAGTCTGTCTGCGGCTGGGCCGTTGAGTTTGGACATCATTACCTGCCAGAACCAGTGAATCTGCTTGCTGTTCTTTGTGTAATGTCTGTAGATAGTGTTCTTCTGCCAGTCGGCCAGATCGATCTCCTGCATGCCGCAGAGCATCAGCTGAAAGCAACAAAACAACGTCAGAGGCATGACGACTCAACAGTTACAGAGGATCATAATCATTTTATGATCACTCTGTTGTTTTTACATTAGATTCAAGTCAAACTTGTCACAAATCTTACTGATTAAACTGTTCCGCTAGGAGCAAACAATTTTCCTTCTTTTTAAATAAAAAAATAAGGAAACAAAAGGTTTTTCTTTCTCACCCTGAAGCAAATGTTTAGGTTTTTTTTTTGCTCCTCAAAATATTAAAATTATAAAGAAAAAGATAAGATTAATACAAACATTTTTTTAATCGCTCTTTTGTGTGTAAACATTTGTAATAAAAGCTAAAGAAATACAACTGACAGTCTGGAAACTTTAAAAAATAACTGGAAATTGTGTAAAAAAGCCTGTGAAGTATTTTAATAAGGACAGTGCTCTGAAAATGAGCTGGAAATGATTCTTTGGTTGGGATGAGAGAAAGTAAAGGCTCCATTAGTCCCTCTGACTTTCAGATTATAAAGTTACCTTCCTACTATATTTTACATAAATGTATTCATGAGCCATTTCATACAGTTATTTCTTTATTTGAGAGAACAGATGATAGAACAAGACTTTTTACATGTTGAGGTTTAACATGATAAGAAACTGTTTTTGCTTCCCAAACATGTCAGCCTGTGACCCAAAAATAACAGCAACAGACAGTCGACCCCTAAAAAGACGTCATGACTTTACTCCGTATGAATTTATAAATATAAAATGAAGTCACTCACCTTTTTTTTTTTATTATGGTTATGTTTGTGTGCATATATTGCAAATATCAATGTATTTATCTTATACCATATTTATGTTGTATTTCTCACACTTTCCTGTACTTTTGACTTTAATCTCACTGTGCATAGAGACAATAAAAATTCATTCAATTATTGATTTAATACAATAAATTATGAATAAAAAATCTATATTTTTAATTAATTTTAATTATTCAGTTTATTATTTAAAATTGAGTTTTTATAATTTAATGTAATGATTTAATGGTGCAGTTTACAGCGACCCCTCCGGAGGTCCTGAGCCCCCCTTTGGAAACCCCTGCTCTAAAACAAGTCAGGTTTGCCGCCCTGATTCGCGTCCTTCTCACCTCCAGCTCCTTTTCATCGAAGTAGCGGAGCCACTCCAGAGGAACCACCTCATTGAAGCCATCCAGGAAGGCTTTGGTCTGCTCCTCCACCCCGCGGGTGAACCTCCAGTCAGTTAGCAGGCTGCAGGAACAAACCATATTTCACCTTCAAGGTTTGGTTTCTCCATTTCTCAGTGATCTACTTGATTGTTCATTCCAGCCTCCTCTGCTCGCTCACCTGATGTACTCCTCCTTGTTTTCTTCCGTGACCAGCTCGTCCTCTCCGCCCTCCTTCAGCGGGTGACTGGAAACCTTCCCCAGGATTTCCATGTCCTGTGCAAAATACAGCTCAACGCCACATTCCTGCAAGTTGTTGTCTCTAGAAAAAAAGAAAGAAACAAAAAAACTTATTATATCTTAAAAAGAGAAAATCAAAACAAACAATTTAAAGAAATTAATTTGTTTATGGTAAACAGTGACTATATGTTATTAAAGCTGAACCATTAAGTGGATCATCATCAACATCTTTGAATGCAGCAGCTCTTTATTATGTAAGACTTATTTGTTCACAATCTAAGCATAAAATGTTTCAACACCTTTAAATGCACTAAATTCCAGATAACATGGTGTTTTAGTCATAGCAGCTGTAATTTATGAATAACGGATAATACGAGCGTTAACACGTAGGAAACCATGGAGATTTCTTTATCTTTCCAGTACTACATTAAATCAAACCCACTGGCAGTTTGAACAGACTGTAATAGTGACAGTTGTACACTGCAAAAAGTGGTAAAAAAATAAAATAAAATAACAATAATAATAATTTCTTAAAATAGGTGTTTTTGTCCTTAAATTAAGTAGGAAAATAAGAACTTTGGAATTGGCATCTTTCATGTCAAACATGATTTTATAATGTTATATTTCAAGAAAAATTGACTTGCTTAGATATACATTTTGCAGTGCAACAACCAGCAGTCCGTCATGAAAAAGTGATGCTGCACATAAACAACTTTAAAAGGCATATATAATATTTGTTGTTTGCATTCCTTAAAAAAAAAAGCAGTTATAAAAGGCAGAGCAATCTGGTGCAACAGAGTCGGTAGGGTCGGTGTTTGCCCAGAAAACGAAGGGGAACGTCTGCGAAGTTTTAACTCAGTGTTTTAAGATTTTAACCTGTTGGAAGTTTATCCAGGTTTAAAGGGCTAAGGGAATAAAAGTTTTGAATATTTGGTGAATATAAATCTAAATGTATAATCTCAAGCTAAAGAAATTTACAGTTGTGTTTTTTTTGTTTTTCTACAGCAAATATAGAAACCATAGAGAACGTCAAAATAACTCCGTCTTTTTAGGTACTCTTTTGCCCCGCCCAATTTATTTATGGGCGGGGCAAAACAGGCATGATTTGAACCCTTTTAAAATTTTGAGAAATGTGCAAACCTTTAAAACAGTTTCTCCTTTTTGCTTTTTAACCAAACATATTCTAATATATAATGAAATATTATTATGGGCTGTTTAATGGTACAGCTTGGTTAATTATAATAATGCATAGAAATTAATGATTTATCAATATAATAGTTTAATTCATTCAGTGATATTTGTGAGGCTCTAAGAGTGAAAAACTGTCCTTAATTTCTTACTGTCACTTTTATTATTAAGACAATAAACACCAGAAACATCTTAAAAAAGTCAACTTTATATAGCGGATCTCTAATTCAAGTGTTGAGAAATCATAGAAGAAACCAGGAGGTATCATATGTATTTGACACAATTAATACTTTGGATTAATCTAAGTGTTTTTTTCCAAAAAAATTTCAAAAAAACCTAAAAAATATTTATGCGGAATTTGATATAAAACACCTGAAACAAAAAAAAGAAAAAAAGTTTGGTTTGAAGAATAGATCCAGCAGCAGGAGCTACTCTAAAGCTAAACGTTTCCAATTACAATATAAAAATAAAAAACATCTTTAGCTATAAATACAAGTCCTACTATATTAATTTCCCCCTTTATAACATTATTAGTCCTTAATTACCATTACTGTTTTATAATATTAGGTCCTCTACAGCAGCATTATGTACAATGAAGCTTTAATTGGCTGCAGATTTAAGATGAAATCTTTATTTTCCTGCAAGTCTATCCTGCAAAATCCTGCAGGATAGACTTTTTCATTTGGAATAACATCCTGATTTTCTTCTGTTCAAAGGATAAAACTGAACAAGAAGTGACTTATTGTTGCTTTACTTACTTAACCCACATGATGGAGTTATAAAACTCAGGATCAATGGACTCCAGGTCTTTCAGAGTTGGCTTCTTGTCCAGCATGCGCTTGTAGAACGGCAGCGTGAAGCCGGTGTCGATAAACTTTCCATGGTACAGAGCCTGCAGGGAGGACATGTTAGATTATATACCGGAATAAGGTCGCCTGCAGATCACGGCTCAAATAAAAACATTACAATTTGTCTGCAACTCAAAGAACCAGGTGATACGTTGGGTTTGAGTTGTTGTGTCACCAATGAAGCTTTTAATTGTGTAAAAAAATATCCCCCAAAAAACAAGCAACATTAACCCAATGATTTTAACAGCTTCATGTTACACAGCAACATGAATGAAAACAAGGCAGAAGATGACGACATCTATGCCCTCTCACTGTTCTGGGATAATTCATGGTTATTTCATGGACACGAGTTTTTACAGTAAGTGTTAAGTGTTTTTGCCGGTGACTCACGGGGGGGGGAGGGAGGGAGGGGGGATGTTGGGTGTCAGAAGCAGTTAAACAGCCAACGTATTTATTCATTTTTTACAGGAAGCATTAATGGCTCTTTTATTTCTATAATCAGAGCTGCCATTTATTCAAATCGTTTGCATAAAGTGTGTCTGACCCAAGCAGAAAACGTTAAACTCCTGCTTTATTCTGACTTTTTTTGGTTAGGAAAAAAAAAGAAAAAAAAGTAAAACGTATAATTTTCCTGGACTTGGATGTAAATACGAGAACCTAAAGAGCGTTAAACCTATCCTAATCTTGTTTAGGGGTGTGTGTTTGCAGAAAATCATCCAGACAGAGCTGCGTAATGTCAGAGAAACCGCAGAGGGTTGAGAGCCTCGACGTGCCAACAACAACACAGACGTCCAAGGACTGACTCAGTCCCAGTCTGCTCCGTCTCTCTGGGCGGACCTGCCATCCGCTTGTCTCGCAGCGGAGGGATTTCACACAGAGGGTAGCTGTGGAAACTTACAAAATAAAAGGGAGGACGCCATCAGTTAGGTAGATGGTGAAAAAGGGCCTTTGGGAGAAAGCAAAGTGAATTTCTAGCACTAAATATAGGCAGCTGGTGGCGGGTGGAGGCTGGTTTGAGCAGTGAGCTCATGGTGTGGGCGAGAGCTGGCGGGGAGGGTGGAGGGTTTGGGAGTCTTAGGCGTTTGGAGTGCGTCCCAAAAAGAGAAACCCTCAAATTTGACTGTAGGCTGTGAAAGCTGAAGACCACTGGACTGGGGAGATGTTAAAACCAGGGCTGTGACGACACGATACATGAGACCAGTCAGCTTTGCTGGGTTTGTTTTCACAAATCAACTGAAGCATTTAAAAACCACAAACTGTGCTTCACATGTTCAAACCTAGGAGCAGAATAATTGGGTGAACTCTTAGGGTACAACGAATTTAAAGGAGACCCTGTCTATTGTGCCCCCACGCAGCGATTTTCTTAATGAAGCTATTTATTGCAGATGCATTATACGGCCATAAGTATCGGTTCCCTCATCCAAACCATTAAGTCCAGGTGTTTTTATCACTTTCATGACCACAGCTGTATAAAACCCAGCTCTGAGGGAAGCAGCTTCTACAAACATCTGAAACCTAACAGATTGATGTGAGGAGCTCAGAGACTATAAGTCTGCTGGGATCAAGCGTACCACCTTCCTCTCTGCTAAATGGTGTTATAAAGCGGAGGCGAGCAGCCACTCAGTCATATAGTGGTAGGTTTTGCAAAAACACAAAGATGCTGCGGTGCAACGGAGTAAACTGTCTGCAGACACAGCAGCTACAGACCTCCAAACCTTATGGGGCCCCTTAGATGCTTAAATAGGGAGGAGCTCTTAATGCTTCAGCTTACCGACACATTTTCAAGCTCCTGACTTTGTGGTGACAGTTTTAGTACGGCCCAATTGTGTTCCTACTGCGCTGTGGGCGGGGTCGGTCAGGAGCATAATGTGGTGCAGGGGGGGGTTCTGTTTGTCTCGGCAGACGAGCCCAAATCAAAACAAGTTCAAGAAGTAAAGAGAATGCGTCTAAAGCCCCATTTAAATGACCTTTTTGAAACTGTGGAGAGCACGCTCACCGAGATAACTGTTGAGTGTAAACGGCACGCAAAACTGAGCCGGACTGTGCCAGACACAATTGAATCACGCTTAACTAGTACTAGTTCATCAGTTGGGCTCGGCGTGGTTCAGTTCACAGATAAAGAGCACATGAGCAGGCTGCTTCATCTCCTTATATCCAGCCTCTGTAATCATGAAATTTCAGACATTCATAAAAATACTAGCTTCGCTACAGTGCCACTGGATTTCCAGTGACGATTCTGCTTAGCAGTGTGATGAACCTGAACTCCTGTCGTTGTTTCCTGCATCTGTAAGCCCTGATTAGACTATTGTTTGTCCAAGCTCGGTCCGAACTCGACACAGATCAGTTTCAGAGGGGTAGTGTAAACGATGCTTAAATCCTACAGCAACACAATGAATGCATGGGAGTGCGTTTAGGGGCGTGGCTTATGTTTGGAAGTGTGTGGCTGATAACGTCTCTCTTTAGTTCTTAACGGTACTAAAACTCGAGAACAAAGGTGCAAAAACGGTTGCAAGAATATTTATAAGCCACTAAAGTTGAAGACACTCAGCTTATTACCCTGAGGCAATGCTTACCATGGCGATGAAGCGACCGATGAAGCGGAAGTACGTGAGGTGGTCGGGGTTGATGGAGGAGGCTGGGTTTATCTGGAGGCAGTAGTTGTTCTTCCCTGCGTATTCAAACAGGCAGTACATGGGGTTGAGGACTTCATGGGACAGCAGGAAGAACCACTCCCTGCAGAACGAGAGGACAGCGGGCATTAAAGCAGGTCAGGGGTTTAATGTGACAACATTGTTTTGTTCCAAGCTAAATGAATGACAGAGAAATCAAGCAACTCAGAAATCAAACATCAGAACACCAGATTTAAACCAACCCAGAACAGTAAAAAAAAAAAAAAAAGCAGATAAAAACTAAGAAAATTTGCTTTTTTCTGTTTGGGAATTTCTGCTTGTGACTCATTTTAATGCAACACTGTTTAGAAACGAAGACTGAACATCATAAAGAGAAACCCTGCCTGAGATTAAATAGAATTAAAAGGAATTAAAACAACTGGATAAACTGGTTAACACCTGATGGTCGGGCTTCCAGTTTCACTGCAAACAACTGAACCCCAACAGCAAAGGTTTAATCTGCTCACTTTGTTTTATTTAGACCAAAAGACTATTTGTTCAATGAAATAAAAATAACAAAAAATAAAATGAGATGCTCAAGTCATGTGCTCATTTTTCCTAATTTACCTTACGAATACCAAAAAACTAAAATTGGTGCCATTTTTGTTTTTTATTCATAAAATGTAAGGACTTCCACCGATGCGTTTCTGTGGAGTCCGACTGTCCTTCATAAGATGATGTATGATGGGGGGAAAAAAAAAAGCAAATCTTCCTCTTTTTTTCATTTTTATGTTTAAGTTCTTAAAAAATACAAAACTATAATAATTATTTGTAAACAGTTAAATTCGACTGGCTGGTCCTCACAGAAAACCAAACACTGGTCTCATGCAGGATTGGTGCATCTCTTTAAATAAAAAAACAAATTTATCAATGATACAAACAGGATTATAACTATAGGAATAGATAGTTTGAGAACATCTCATAATAGCAGTTACTCTAGACATTCATTGCTTATAAGGTGGATAGTCATGTTAGATATTGCATTTTTAAATTTATACACCATTAGTTGCATAGGATGTTTTTCTAAAATATTCCACTGTTCTGATGACATTTCTTTTTATGTTTTACGCTTCTTTTTTGCTCAATGTAAATAAAGCCTTTTTGTGTATATTTATTATAAAAACACGACGTGAAGGGATATGGATACTGCTCATGTGCGTAGCGGCTAATCAAGGACGTAGCCTAATGTGGCTCAGGCCGGTTAGCACCTCACAGGGAAGTGTGAAAATATTGAAATGAAGTCCAAGATCCAGTTTAATAAAACCCAAGAAGAAGAAGACTCAACATTAGCTTTCACTGAAGAGAAACTAAAGCTGCTCAGATTTTTCTTTGATTGAGATATTTTTTACTGTGATGCTGTGTCCCTCTTTGGGATTGTTAGGAACAGGGATTGTCTTCCTCCTTGATGCTCTGAGGAGGTTTGACTAGAATATCATGCAACTGAATTGCCGCAATCTCACTTTCTGGTAGTTCTGCTGAGCTACCAGCAGATGGCAGCACATCTGTTTCAGTATGCTCAATGTGTCCGTGCTTAAATTCAATTTAGGCCCAGATCTAAACATTAGGATGAACACTTGGTGTATATTTCCTTATGTTAACAATATAAAATGTTTTTTTTTTTTTTTTTTATATTGGCAGATAATGTGACTATGTCCCTTTAAGGCAAAGAAAACATAAAATCATTGTTTCTTGATTTATTCTAACAGCAATTGAATTTTGAGCAATTAGAGACAAATTTACTCTGCAGTTAGAACATATATATATAAAAAAAAAAAAAAAACGATCATGTGATTTGTGACAGAACACTCAACACCAAACATGTTGGAATAAAAAAAACAAACAAAAAAACACAGGCAGATGAGGAAGGATGCATGTTAGAGAAAATGAAGGCCCTCCACCAGCGGCGGCACCAAGCGCTCCCAGGGTTCACCCGGTTAAGCACACATCAGGAGAAGGCGTATGAACTGAGGGACGGATGGACTGACTGACGGACGCAGACACCTCCCAACATCCCGTCCGTGGTTCTACCCTGTGGTAGAACAGCATGATGTCACCTACCATAGGGTAAAACCACTGACGTGACACCGGAGACAGAGACAGAATGCGAAGCCAACAGAACAAAATTAATGAATACAATGAAAACAGAAAAAATACCAACAAATACAGAGGCTTGGAGGACAGCAGAGGGAGGTGGGGGGTGGCGAGGGGAGGACAGACATGTTGGAGGAGGATGTGTTGAACTGATAATGTTAGAAAAGCTCTTCAGGACAAATGGAATTTGGAATGAAACTATTATGTCTCTATGTCAGTTTTCATGAATCAAATATAGTTAATAAACCAATGGGATTAAATATAGATTTAAATTTGGAGGCAACCATTCAATGAATTATCCTTAGTTGTTTATAACAAAAAAAAGATTTAACTCCAGAATACTAAAGGAGTTCATGATCATCTCTTGAACAAACATCACTCCTCCACCACCGTGCCATACAGTGTCACATATACAACAACCCAGCCACGCCTGGTCAGTTCTTTCTAAGTTTACTGTCCTTAACCTAAACATCAACTGTATCACACTGTATCACACTTACACAGGACAGCAGTTTTATAGGAAACACAGTTTAAATCAGCAATCAAAAGCTTTGTCCTCCCATGGCAAAAATACAAACAGATATATTTACGGATGTATCTGATGGTGAATGAGGGTGCAGTAAAATGTCAACATCCCTTGTAACTCTATTCAAGAAATGCAGAAAGAGGTGACTGATGGATTTCAGAGGAAATGAGGGAAAAACCAAACACTCATATAGATTTTCTGGATTAAACATAATTTTGAATTCATTCAGCTTTTTAAATTCTAAATCCTTTACATTTTAATCTCCTTTATTATTCCAGAACAAAAAGAGTTGGGTCCAGAACTTCTAGAGGGAGTAAAGGGACATAAACATGAGACGAGTGATTCAGATCCCTGATTTGGGATGTTTGGAGAATCTGTTGTGACTCATTTTGTTAACAGATCTGTTAAAATCATCTGTGATCATTATTGGATCAGATTGTAAAACAGTGGGAACAGTTAGAAATAAAAAGAAACTCCATCGGAGACATTAAAAATGCATAAAAAAAAAGAACAGGTTGATTAAGAAGCCTGAGGACAAACAGATGCACCAAACAGACAACAACAGGAAGCTGGAGCCGAGGTTTCGGCCTCACCTGGCGACGCCGCCGTAATCCAGACCCTCCTCTCCTCTCATGATGATGTAGAGCCGGCGCCGGAGGTCATACGGCTTCACGTTCATAATCTGATGAAGAATCATTTATTAACTACTAGCAAAAGTTCACATTGAGCTCATTTTGACTTTGAGCTCTCTCATTTGCTGTTGAACTAAGAATACCAACAGTTGTGTTAAAGGTTCTGCCTTAATAGTAATGGTTCCCACTTCAAACTGTTAAAAATGCCTGATAAACTTTTCCAGATCGGTGGGCACAAACAGCTCCCTCTCCTCATGCCATTGCTGGTGCATTTTCTTGCTGATCCTGTGCAATCAAGCCACAAAACTCCCTACATTTGGTGTTTTCTACTGATAAAACACTTTTAATCAGCAGAAGCTCCCTTTCAAATCAAAGGAAGAAGCAAATATTAACCTGGCTTCTGTCTAATCACTCATTTTTCACAAAGTAGAATAAGTTTCATCGATAAGTTTCATTCGTAGTAATTTGTATGTGGAGGTTGGATTGAAGGGTTTTAAAATCAGTTTAAGACTGCATCCCTTCAGTTTGGAAAACCTAAGAAATTGATGCATTCTTTTTCTGATTCTCCATTTCTCATGAGATCTGAATAAGATTTATTCTGAAAAAGCAAACAGGTGTAAACGGCGAAAGGGTCTTACCTGCTGAAACGAATCTTCAAACAGAGTTTGCCTGGATACGGAGATCTTCACGTGGCTGGGCAAAGCGTTGGACTGCAGAGACGACAAACATCAGGAATATAAGGACATTTGTTTTTTGAATTTGATCAGGTTCTAAATAATGAATATACACACATTATTGTCACACTTATTCTTCACCATCTTGGTTATCCTGTTCATACCACGGTCACACAAGTTTTTCACAAGAAGAGGCTCAGTCGACCATTTAATATCTGTCTTTGGTCCTGTTGCCAGGGTAACCAGCTCTGAAGCTACAGGTAAACTATAAAATCCCTCAGGTTTTTTTTTACAGTCTTACCATTACTAAATAGAGTTTGAGCTAGCGTAAAACACTTTATATGGGACCCTCTGCAGCTAATCAGAATCAAGTATTCACACAGACCATGATTATAATTTTTGTGGAACAGATAATGTGTTTTTTTTTTTTAGCCAATTGAAACGTTAAACCAGCAAGTGTTGCCGTGAATTTACTGGATGGATGGATTTGAATCTTTGTTCCAATTTCTCCCTACTTCTTCAGACCTGTAATTACTTGAATCACTCGCAGGCTGCATAGAGGCCTCTGGAAGTAGATAGTTTTCTTTCTTTTAGATAGTGTCTCAAACTCAACAGGTGTCCAATGGCTCTTATATGTATCTCTTGCACAACACACCTGAATCAAATGGATGAACTGCCTCACTAGCAGCAGCAAAGCTCTACAGAGCTCCGAAAATAAACCAATATATTTGAGCAGGGTGTGTTAAATGATAGAGACATCTAAAGCTGGAGAACATGGGCCCCACTGGAGGGTTTAATGGATCTAAGGAGATATGAGCGGATAAAGCTGAAGGTTTTTATGTACCTTCAGCCTCCATCTAACACTTACATGACACAGGAAGCGGAACTGGCTGTATTTCCATCTGAAGCTCCGATCATAAGCTCCAGGCGAGCCTCCCTGCCGTGACCTGAGCACAGAATGAAAACAGAACAAAATTTGTGTTTTGTTTATAATATTGCAAGAAAAGTCAATAATAATAATAAATTCATAATTAAGAAACTCCGATGTCCCAGACAGCAGGTCATTTTTATACAGCCTCCATTTTGCTGTAGATCAACGTCTGTGTTTGGAAGACAAAGGTGAGCTTAGGGCTGCAGCTGTGTTAGTCTAAGCACCACCAGCTCTCTACTCACACGCTGGATTTGTGCTTCGTCAGCAGCAGCAAAAAAAAAAAAGAGACTGAGATGTAGAGAGAAAGAAAGCAAAAAAGATTTGAAGGATGGGAGGAGGAGGAAAAAAATGTGTGGGGCTTGCTAAGCTGCCAGGCACTTCTCAGTTTGGGTTCGGAAATGGAGACCGCAGCGACTGTCCGCGGACCCACGCTGCAGCAGGACCCAGAGGAAAAACAATCAATAAGTGTGTCTCTGGAACGCTCAAAGGCTGACGGACTAAAAATAAGAGCAAACATCACCAGGAGGAGCAGATTCATGCAGCTTTCTCCACAAACACACGCCGTATACAGCGGCGGCCACATATGCAAACACAGAAAAGCGCAAAACACCCACACAGATGCCAGGGCAGTCTGCGGTGAATCTGCTGCTGCACAGCTGCAGTCCGAGTTTTCAAACTGCTGCGAGGAAGACGTAAAACAAGCTTAGAAAGAATGAGTGTGTTAATTAGACATCTACAGCTAAAGGAATGTTAGGAACTGAAAGGAATGGTGTCAAGAAAACATGCTGATAAAAACCAAAACAAAGAATCAGATGTAGTTTGTATTTAGAAATATTTTATCCTGTCATGTGGTTAAAGTTTTCAGCAAACAATTATGTTGTTTAAATGAACAGATTTGCCAAACCAAGGTGACATCGCTGTGTTTGAAAACAAAAAGCATTTAAATCGTTGGTTTGAATGACTGGTTCTTTAAAAAGACTCTCTGCCTCAGCTTGTGGCAGGTCTGAGGGGGAGAGACCATATTTACCCTGACTCAAACCCGGGTCTGGGGTCTTTAAAGGTGGTGGTGCGAGAGTTGTGGTCCACAAAATAACGCACTCCCTCTGCGGTGTACTTCATCTCCCAGCCAGGGGGCAGGGGGTGCTCCTTGATCATCCTGCAACAGGGAGAGGGCAGTGAGCACGGTCCCGAGAGGGAGGGGGTGCCCTACCAAGGGGAGGTGTAGCTTCCTAACCAACTAGCTCAATCAAACAAAACGCACCTTCTAAAAAGGCAAAAAAGTCAATAAAAAAATATTTTGCAATAGCAAAAACCTGACTGAACAATTAAGAAAGAGATAATTGATGTTGAGTACATTTATTTAGAGGAATTAGAAATCTAAAATAAATGTAAACAATATATATGGTAGATCGACTCTTACTGCAACCCTGAAAAGTCCATATCTAATCAATAGAAATCCAAATAATAGTTTTTTTTTTTTTACAAATTTCTAATTTACATTTTTAAGTTGATCCTGACCATGTCTGCGCTGCAGGGAAGCAGGACTTCATTGCTTCATTCATACTTCATTTATAACATAAAACCTATTATTAGATGCTTTTCCTCTGCGGGAATTTTTAACAAGAACCAGGTAAGTGGCCTTCTTTCCACTAGTTTCCCCTGAGCGCCTATCAGTCCTGGTAAGGGACACTACCTTCTGAATAAACCCTTAAATATAAACTACAGCTTTGAGACAAATGTCTGATAAACGTTTCTGACTCTACATTCATATTGCCTGTTGACTTTAATCGAAAAAACAGTAACAGGCTCAGGTAATTTAAATTCAACAGAGTTTATGTAACAATATACAAATCAGAGGATTCACACATCCTAAGTATTATATATCATACATTTTAAGTTTAAATGAAAGCTACATGTTGCGTAATTAAAGCTGCCCTGACACACATGAAACATCTTTAATAAATGGCTGAGGATCTTGGTCCCCAGATCAGCAGGAGGGAGGCACTGTCAGCCATAGTGGATCATTTATTCATTTGGTTTTGGGAAATAAAAAGGTTTCGGGAAATTCTGGCACCTTAGCACCTTGTTTCTCTTAGCTTTTCCTCACAATTTGGAAGACAAGGGATGAAAAAAGGAAATTATTTGATTCAAAACTGTCCTTAACATTTCGGGATCAGCTTGCAATGTGCAGACTCATTTGGAGTCTTAATCTATAAACTTTTCATGCGTCCTAAATATGCTGGTGACTATAGTGGTTTTAAAAAACTATTTTGAAAACCAATATCCAGCTCTGTAAATGAAAACAGTAATTGCTTTATTTCTAAATAATGCACACTGACTCGGAAGGATTAAGAAACTATTTCTCTATATACTGTATGGTTATTAGCATTAAGTGATCCAAGAGAGCAAATTTCCTGAACTAGATTTATGAGTGACATGAGAATGAAAGAACGTATAAAAAAAAAAAAATGGCCTGATTTTTCTGTCGTTTTAGGGTCTTAAAATGTCCCAGTCAACATTTATGACCGTCTGTAGTTTTATCTAACACTTTTACAAAGACTAGTAACGTGTTGAATGAATTAAATAATCTTCTCATGGTGCCATCCTGATCTCTGGACACACGTTTGGATGAGCAGGTCTGCTGTCATGCAGCGTTTTGATGGTTATATTGTTCTGTATGAGCAAACAGCCAAAGCAAGGCGCCACCCACAAGCAGGCAGACACATGCTCAGACAAACACACAGGTTAGATTTGCTCCTGGGTCCTGGTCTCACCCTTGGGTCCGAGGATCGTCCCACTGAGTGGTCCTTGTGTTGTGGTTGACGAAGTACACTCGGCCATTGTCCTGACGCTTCTCTGCGAAAACAAAGAGGACAGAAGCGGCATGTTGGGATTATTAGAGATATTATAACTGTTGAAAGAGGACAGGAGGATTGGAGGAATGAGAGGGATCATCTGCTGAGCTGAGGAGGATAAGAACATTTTCCCCACCATGGGTAAAAACCTGCAGATCTGTGTGGTGTTTCACCACGACTTGATCTGAGGGAAACTGTGTGAGGTTCTGGGAGCAAATTAAGTTTTTAGATGTAAACTCTTCATAAAGCTGATTTTTTTTTTCTATCAAACGGCACCACGAAAGTTTAGCTGGTGCCCCATCCTCCTCCCTCCGTTGCTCTGACATCTTTTTCTCATTAGCAGGAGTGAGTGGAGGGCCCAGAAACAGTAGTGCTCACATTGCAGCTCCTACTTGCTTTCTCTCTCCACCCCCTTTACTATCCAGTCAGAGCTTGACTTTTTCCTCTTCATCCTTCCATCATTTCTCCCATCCTTTCTGAGCCTCAAACAAAAGAAGAAGAAAAATTGGAGGGAAGAGACCACAGAAGTCCAAAGAAAAAAAAAAAAAGCGCGCCAGAGAGGCGAAGCTGAGCCAATGATATAATTGAGGTTTTAGTCTAGATGTACCGCAACATGTTGAAAAGGCATCATGGGCAGAGAGGGAGCCTTTCTGGAGGGGACGCGGCTGTGAAAGCGTTGGCGGAACGGGAGCTGCCAGCGGAGGTCGTTTCTGATTGAACGTGTGTGACGGGATCCTGCGTGGATCCTGTTACATTATCCCGTCGGGAAAATGTCGGATGATGAAGGGTCCCATCAATAACGCGCTCCCTGTAATTTGTGGACTTCAGAGTAAAGGGAGTTCTTACAGTGATAAACGAGGGGAGCAACAAATAGAAACCAGTGCAGATTTAATCCATATTTTCCTTAAAAAAGAGCAGATATCAGAACGACTGGAGACACAAATCTGCAGATTAACGGGTGTTCTGCAAACAGGAGGATAATCCCAATTCTTTTTGCTGCTTCATAAAAGGCCTAATACCACTAAAAAATAGGCTAAGAAAGCAGCGCCATTTATGGAACCACAGCCGCAAAATACTGCTGGGATATAATGAATTAGAAATAAAACTCTGCCACAGCCAACACACATCTGAGAGACCAAGACCCTGATGTCAATAATCACAGACAGAGACAATATGAGGATACAAAAGAAGGAGAAAAATATGAATTAATGACGATGAATTATGTTCGTCAGCACAATAAACAGCAGGGATGTAATTAAGTTAATCCGTGAAGGCCTAAAACTAATTAAAAATGCTTTTAACAAAAAAAAAAATAATATATATATATATATATATATATATATATATATATATATATATATATATATATATATATATATATATATATATATATATATATATATATTTTTTTTTTAGTATAGCTGTGCCATACACTGTAAAAAAATATGGTGATGTTAATATGTGCTAATCTGCATGAAGGAGAACTGCTGAGATGATAGATTCAGTGGGACACAGTAAGACTTAAAAAATTTGCTAACTTATGATGAGTTTGTATTGATTTATAATTTTCTTTATGCCTGTACCTGATATGCTAGTGATTTATGTCCTAAAGTTCAGAAACAGCTTTAGGATGTTGGTGAAATAAAAGAAAAAAAGAAGCCAATTTTTTGGGTCATTTCAGTATCTTTACTGCAGCGTCATGATTTCCTGCTGCTCTTAACCAAACCTTTGCTTCACAGCTGAAAGCGCCAAATAAAGTCACATCTCAAAACTATTAATTAGCAATAAAAAGACACTTTGACCTGTTGACTTCTGAACAAGCCAGGTCACTATTGCTTGTTTTTCATTTTATAAAACCTCAGAAAAAAAAAATCTATTTGCACAATGTAGAGAAATCATGACATTGTAACTTTAAAACTGATGATCTGATCACTTTTCTTCCTCTTTTCATACATCATCATGTCTTGGTCACTTTGAGTCCAGTTTCAAAGATCTAGATCAGATGTGGATGTAAAAGGCAAGCAAAGGTCCATTTGAATTGGGAAATAAAACATTGTGGAGCAGAGTTTTAATGCATGAAAGATAAGATCCAACCTAATTTGACATTCAAAGAACCATCTACGCCTGCAAAGGTCCCATTGTTAAGACTTAATTTGCCCATTTTTTAAAACAATTTAAAAAGATTGTGAAAGGTCAATCTTCTTATCTAGTGGTGATGAGGGAATATTTCAACAGTTCTAACATTGAAATATTTCTAACGCCAAAAATAAAAGAGTGAAATTGGTCCCTCTCCATGTTTTAAATAACTTTGCACATATTTCAAGTAAATTAGTTGGGAGAAAAAGGCCCATTTTAATTTGTCAAACGACTTTCGATATAATACAATAATCAACAGTCAATGGAATCAGGAATAAATTTAGGAGCATTTTTATTCTTGATTAAAAATAATATCCAAACTAGGATAATTTAAAACATTAATTGTACTTTTTTCCTAAGACTGAATAAGTAGTCTGAATATATTCTGTGGTGTCGATGCAGATAAAGATGTAGAGAGCAGGAGAACAAGCAGCATGTTGGGCAAACTTACCCCATCCAGGAGGCAGCGGGCCCAGGGGGTCATTTTCCACTGGAGCGCCGGACGGCTGCAGGGAGACAAAAAACAAATCCGGTTAGGACATGAACCCGTCTCTCTTCTCTCACACGTTACGTTCTTCTCAGCGTTCGCCTTGCAAGTCGGCTTTTCTAGTTTTCTGATGCAAAAACAAAAATTTATTTAAAAGATACGAAAAGATTATGGAGAAAGCAACCTACGTTCTCCCAAAAGCAGATGTTTCCTCCTGATATGGAGTATTTAAGACAAACAGGGGCTGGCGGGCAGTGGTGGGGGGGTTCCGCTCTGCAGCAGCAGAGAAGGGCGACTGAGGGAGCTGACCGGCCTGCGGCTCCGATGCTTTCCTAAAGCTACACGCTCGGTAGGAGGATAAAACAACAACGCTGTTCCAATGAGCTCACTGGCTGGATGCAAGCCCCACCTCCCCTCAGCTTCCCGCTCACCTCCTCAAATACACCCCTCCTCATCCTCATCCACCACCACGAGGCACCCCTCCCAACCCCACCCTCAGACCCTCCTCCGCCTCCTCCTTTCTCCTGCCCTCTTCTAGCGCTGCTGTGAAACTAGGCAGGGAAGTGTGATGTCTGAGTGAACTGAGGGAACATTCATGCTTGTTCCAGACTGGACACCCCACCTCCTCTCCAGCCCCACCCACCATAACTCTCACAAAAGGCACCTTTATTCACCGTGGGCTTGGAAACCACTGTGGGGTTTACACAGCCTGCACTATACGCACACACATAAAAAAAAAAAAAAAAAAAAGGTGAGTAAGTAAAAAAAAAAAGTGGAAAATTTGTAAGTGACTAAGACTCAGTCAATGTGTATGCTTTCATATAAGGATAAACCCACACAGGAATATATTAATTCAACTGGGAAACTAGCTCAAACGTTCACTTGTTTGTCATTTTTCAAGTTGATGTTACAAACTCAGACCGCATGCCACTACAGGGAACTTAATTGTCTATTCAGACAAATTATAAATCATAAATTTTGGCAGCTTCAGATTTATCTTTGGAGACGAGAAATGCAAGCTAACCCAGAATCTCTCCAAATGAAACTTGGTGCTGCTTCAAAGGCCCCTCTGACATCCTGATGCTTTCCTGACAGGACATAGAGTGGAGTGTTATCCATCTAATGCCAACGTCACTTCTGAGCGGCACTTCTTTAAAAGCGGCTCTGTCATGGAAACTCTGAGGGAGTCTGGATGGAAAGGACTGGGCCTGCGTAAGGACTGAGCCTGGGCAAAAAACAGGGTTAAAGGGTGTGTGTGTGTGTGTTTCGCTCCCATCGACAGCCAATCTATGCCCCGAGCCCCACCCGTTTGGGTTTTCTGTGACTAAAAAAGGTAAAAGGAGAATATAATGATATAAAGACATGATGACTTCATCCTGGCTCTGACCATTCAGCTCCTCTGTGGCTTCCAGACAGAGCAAAGCTGGCAGGAGCAAAAGAAAAGGAAGCTGGGAAAATGAGAAAAAAAGGATCTTTCAAGCACAAACCTGTGAAATAAGGATTGGGTGTTATGGGCAGAGGAAGAACTAAGGACACAGCAGGTGAAATTTTACTTTGAAGTTTTGGACTCGTAAGGAAAAAAAAAATGTTAATTTGCCCGTACAGCAAGGAGTTTTTCTCCTGTGACAAAAAGTCACAGAGTTCATCTGAGGAACCATTAGATGTAGCAAAAAAAAAAAAAAAAAAAAAAAAAAAAAGAACAGCTCCTTCAAATTTTCATTTTCAATATTTTATTCTTTCCACACTCAGTTTTCCATCCAAGATTTCAGCTTTAGTCCTTTTTTAAGTATTTTAATAAAGTTCATGGTGGAAAAATCTGCAGTACTGAAACTTAAGGATTAAATGAAAAGCAGCTATGGATTGACTGACAGATGGATGGATGGATAAACTGTGAAACTGATGGATGGACAGATTGACGGATAGATTAGCTGACTATTGAAAGGATCGGTTAATTGGCTGACTGAATAATAAAGTTAATCACTGGAAATGGGTCGTCATGAAGTAGCTGGAAGTCTCTGATTGCAATACGGCTCATCAACTTGAAAAAACACCTGTTGAGATTTCCTGTGGCAAACCGAATATTAGAGCAGCCAAAAAGACAAACTGCAATCCAGTCTATTTGGATACAAAAAATATAAACACCTAGAAATAAAATACAAAAATACTTTAAGAAAACATAAGAAATATAGGTAGATGAGGTTCAGTAGAAAGACAATCATCATTATACCTGAACTGACAGCTATTTTATTGTTAATTATGGTATAAAATGTAGTTGAAGCGCTATATAAGGCATTAAATGACTTAATTTAATAACAATTAACATAAATAATAATTGTAATAGATACATATAATAAAATTTAAAAGATTAGTTAATTATACTGATTATGATGGATGCATGGACAAACGAATGGCTGAAAAGATTGATTAGTGGAAGACTAAACTGAAAGACTGAAAGATGGAAGGATGGATATAAGAATTTTAAAAAGGATGAATTTTTTTTAAATTCTGATATCTATCCCATTAGATGATAAAACAGCAAAAATATCTCCTACATTTGATTTCCTATGATTATTCAGAGTTTGTAAACCATCAATCCAACTTCAGACTGTTAAAGATTGGATCTCTGGAAACAGCTCAAATATTTAGTAGATCAGTCAGAAATAAAGAAACTTAAAAACCGAAATCCTTATTTTCAACTTTCTGTATCAAAACAGAAATATGCTTTATCGCAAATAGGGCTGGACAATTAACCACATTTGCAATATAACGGCAATTGTAATGTGTCTCTGCACAGACACAGACACTCAATTTTGGTTACGTTAGATAGATTTTGACATTGTCACTCCAATCCTTTAGGCAGCAGTAATACACTTATTAGAGGTGAGTATTTGCATGAGTGTTGCGATTCGATACATGTCGCGATACTTGGGTCACGATGCGATATTATCACGATATTGCAGTATCACTATATATTGCCATATTTTCCCCAGCTATCAAAATCGAATGATGAGATAAAACAGCAAGTGCTTTATATTTTCATCAGAAAATATTGATTAGGTATTATTGTCCATGTTGTTTGGGGTTTTCTTCCACTGTGACTGCCTCAAATACAGTTAAAGGGCTCCACAGCGCTTTCTGCCAGAGTGGTGGTGCAGCGGTAGCCCATTTTCCCATCAATGTTTTATGTAACCATTTTTTTTTTTTGAAAATCGATACTAAGAAGTGAAAGATCGATATTATATTGGGCAGATGAATATCACGATATATCGCCAAAACGATTATTTCCCACACCCCTAACACTTATAGAAGGTTTCCTGTTACACGACAGGAAATAAGGGTCAAATTTAGTGCGGAGATTCATGCATGCGAGTTGAAATAAGCACTTATACAACAGTAACAGTCGTGTGAAAATAGGGTTAAGCAAGCATCGAGATGATGGAAAAAAACGAAAATCTGGAGTGAAACATGGACATGTATAAGGTCAGTAAAAAAGAAAATCTAAATGAAATCACAATTTTAGTTTAAAGAAAAAAAAAATCAGTATTTTGATTTTTGGTCAAATTGATTAGCTCTAATTGCAGCTACAAGTTATATCAACACCAAGAATAAAAACAAAGAGAAAAGCAACAGCAAGTAGTGTCAAAACAAAACAGAGATGATTCTGTTTTATTTGAAAAGACACTGGAGGTTTCCCAATGTTTTTTTTTTGTTTTTTTTTTTTGTTTTTTTTACAATTTCAAAACGTGTGCAACACACAAGCCTTTGGTTTTCCACATGAAATTTTCATTTTTTTTTTTATTACAAACTATGAAAAGAAGTGTTAAATGTTTCACAAAATGGAATTCCCTTACCTCCAAGATTCAATTTAGTCCAATTAACAGAAAAATAAAAACCTTTTTTCATTTCTATCCAGAACGGTAGCATGTCATGTTTAACTTGTTTTTACCCCCCCCCCCCCAAAAAAAAAACATTGGGATTCATTATTTATTTGTATTTCTGTTTCAAAAAATTATAAGATTCATGTTTAAAACTGTTTTTATAGAAATAAAATTAAAAGTCCACGTCTGTACGAACTAGGTTAAATAGAGCAGCTTAAACCTGTTCTGTTCTTTGTCCTTTCATGGTACAAATGTCGTCTATGGGAATATGAGTGCTGACGGTTCGTGTGTAAACATAAGTTAAGGTGTTAGCAGGGGCAGTGTGTTAGTTTTCTGTGCTGTGAGTGATAAAACACAGGGTTGATTCAGGTGCCGCTGTTAAGGAGCCTTGTTCTAAGAAAAAGGGACTGGAGGTTATAATTGAAGGAGGGGAGGAGGGGGCCACTGGTAGGAAGGAGACTGGTCTGACAGCAGCAAATCAAGGGAAGATGAAACATGTCTCAAATGAGGCCAAATAAAAAAAGATGTGTAGACGCAGAGAATGAAAATTATGGACACAAAAATTAGTTTGATAAAAGCCATAGAACGATGAGGAGGGTTACAGCTGTAAGTAACGAGAGAGAGACGGCTGGCAGAGGGGGAGGGACGGGGGTGAGCTGGAAACAGCAGTTAATGACCACGAGGCCGCCCCTCTAACGAGCTTCAATTACTCTGCAAACACTCGCTTGTACTTCTATATTTGCATGGATGGATGCAACAGCAGCTCATGTTTTTACTGCTGATTCAGGCTGCGATTGCTTTCATGACTACGTCTTTTGCTCGTCGGAAAAACAGCCAAAAAACAAACAAACAAACAAAAAAAACACTGGAGAGTTTAATCTAACGTTTAATTGACAGCTAAAAACCCCAATATTTATTTATAGAATGATTTAAATAAAAATAACAGCTGGTTTGTAATTAATTAGATTTTCCTTAGGCTTTAAAAGCATCTTCACAGTTTTTATTTGATCATGTATATTATTGAATACACAGTTTACCGTATTGGGATTATGTTAACAAAATTAAGGAAATGTGACAAGAGAAGAACAAAGTAATGTCAGCTGTTGAACAAAACCTAATAGAGGGTCTGAGGGATGCTCTGCTTGCAACATTGTAAGCCAAAAAGCTTTTATTTTAGCTTTTGTTTATGCTAAAATCACAATAATTGGATGAAAAATGCTATTTTTTATAAACACACTGAAAATAATTAGAGCAGATTATGTTTCTGTAATGGGGTCAGGAGGGTAAGCAGGAGCCAGACGAAACTATCTATAAAAATGGTCAGGAACTGGACTATTAAATCCATTGAAAATTCCTGCAAGACTTCCAGAAAGTCTGAGGAACTACTGAGTAGGTCAGCTTTAAAATTCTGATGACAAAGTCTGACCTCTTGGAAGCAAATATAAAGATTAAAAAGACCCCGGCACTTTTGCAGAGTAGTGTAAATGAAAAGCTGCTTTGGTTCTTCAGCTGATTGGTTTGTGCAGACAAACCTTTGCACAGTGTGTCCATATAGTTGTGTGAAAATGTGCATGCCCCTTAGAGCACCATCGTTGAATTAAGAAGAAAGGCCATTTGACCCTCTTTAGTTGTCATGTGCAGCACAGAAAAATGTTGCACCTGAGCTCAACATTACAATCCTGTGAACAAATGAACTCCAACTCACACTGAAGCTGAAGGAGCACATGATCCTAGAATTTAGAAATAGAATCGAGTTACAATATTCTATAGCTAATCAGGTTATCTTCGTTTATTTCTATAAAACCAAAAATGCTAAATGATTGCTTTTTTGAAGACTGGCCTTCTAACCAGTAGAAAAAGCAGTGAAAGCTGGGCGGGGGGGCTGAGAGCTCCAGCCTGGCAGCAGATTGTGTGGCTGTGTTCACAGTTAAGCTATGAGCCCTTTTGTGAGCAGTTTCCTTGTTCACACACACTAGGGCCATAAATAGTCAGCGCTATCAGCAGTTTGGGCATTCCAAGACATAGCAGTGTACTATCAACAAGACCTGCCTCTTGGCTTTTCTCACACACACTGGGTAAAGGAGGGAGGGAATGAGGGAAGGAAAGAACAGCCGAAGAGAAGTTGATTCCATCCCCCCCAAAAATAAAATCTGCGTTATATATTGGCATCGACTTTGATTTGCTTATCCTGATTTTAAGACTAGGCTTAAAACGCACGTTTTTAAATAAGCTTTATAGTAAAGAGTGACTCATGTTATTCTGTGCGACCTCTATAGCTATGCTATTATAGCCTTAGGCTGCTGGAGGGCATGAGGACTACTTATACACCCGATGCTCCATTCTATTTCTATTATCCAATTCTGCATAATTTGTCAATTTTTTGTTCTTTCTGCTTTTTCTAATGATAGTTAAATCTGTTTAGCTGTGACATCATCCTGGAGGGAAATATTAGCTGGGCAACTGCTTTCAACAACTTTAATTACAGATAGACTACAACTGATCTAAACATAATTAAAAAAGTGTAGTTGCATGAAATAAGAAAATGGAGTGGTTTTATTTTCTATTTTAAATGAACACAATCTTTTTCTATTGCAAACTATCTTACCTCTCCAACTAAAGAAAAGATACACATCTTTCAATAAACTGATGAAGATTCTCAGTCATCCAGGTCATAGTCATTCCGTAAAAGTTAAAAAAATATCCACTGGACTTGGGTTTCCAAGATTTGAAGACGTTTCGCCACCTCTTGAAACGTCTTCAAATCTTGGAAACCCAAGTCCAGTGGATATTTTTTGAACTTTTACGGAATCTTTCAATAAAAGCTGACTTATTTAAATTTTTTTTTTCTTGCAGTGTAAGTTGTGCCTGTTTCTCAGTCCTGTTTCTATACTCAGAAGGATGGCGACACTGAGCTGGTTCTGCTAGAGGTTTCTTGCCATTAACCCCTTTTTATAGCTTTCGCACAAACTAATTGCATACACAAATGCCATTGGCCAGCACAATAAAATAAATCTCTGCATGTTGTGTCTCATTTGAAAGTTAAGATCTTCTAGTTTCTGAAGATGTGTACAACCTCTGTAGGTTTAACTCGACCTGAGCTATATAGCTTCACACATGTCCAAAAGGATATTTTTCTCTCTTGCATAAATAAAAGGCAGTTCTTAATATTCTATATCTTGGGTAATTTACAGTTGACCTCTCCAACTCTCTACACTTTTTCATATTATGAACAACAACTGTGTAAAATTTCAGATCTCTAGTAATTAACATGAAACTATGACCCCTTTTTTATTGAAGAGGTCTATTTCGAACAATTAATCCAAATGACCCAAAGTGCAAAACTGGATTATTGTATTTATGACTAATTCGATCATAAAAAAAAAAAAATAAAAAAAAATTGTTTTTTTTGACTGCATTTTCAGTGTGTATCCAATTATTTCTCCTCTTACTCCTTATGCACATAAGTAAACACTATATTTTCTGCCCACCCCTACACTTTCAACACGTCAGTGAGACACTTATCTTGATGGCTAACAAAATGTCCATCAAACTTAGATGTTGGTCTGCTGATAAAACCTCAATAAAATCCATTGAAAACTTGAATTGTTTTGGAAATGCACTTTAGAAATCTACTTCTGTACAATAAAAAATAACCTCTTGTTTCAGCATATAGTAACCAGCACTGTACTGTACTGCACTTCATGTTTTTAATACATTATTTATAATTTGTTCACTGCACCTTAGGACTGTTCACTGTACTTTTATAATGTAAATACGTGTGGATGTTATGTGATTTTTTTTTACTTTTTCTTTATCTTATTGTGTTGTGACTGTCACTATGTGTAAAGCTGCTGCTACACTACAATTTCCCAGCTTGGGATAAATAAAGTAAATCTATTCTATCTATTCTATTCTATTCTTCTACTTCCATTCACAAACAAAATCTGGGCTGCAAAAAAGCCTACACCCAGAAGTACATGGAAACCAAGACCAAAGAGATACTAGAAAATATAAAGATATGAAAAAAAGGACAAAAAGTTTTATAAAAGTAAAACACAAAAGCAAAAGGGTGGGGTGGATTTAATTGGAGCATCTATCCATTTTAACGGTTTAACTGATGGCGCATGAAGAAGCTCTGCTGTTATAACCAATAAGGTTTTTGAACTCTGGCGGCAGGCTGAGCTTGGTTGCTTCACAATGAAACAGACCTAAGGGCCGAACTTAAACTGATTCTGCTTAAATATTCCCATAAAGGTTCTCGCCAAAACCAGCAGTGTATCAAATACAGGGCTTAACTGAGCAGCAAATCTTTACTGTGACCAAGTGAAAATACAAATATATCATCAACGTCCAAAAATAATTGCCTTAGTAATTTTTCACCAAAAAATACATATTTATCTGCATCACATCCTTATGCATTTGGGCTCTGTTTGTTTTTTGTTTGCTTTGTTTTTTGGGCCTAAGTTCCTTATTACTGCCACCTGCTGAATTGGAGGTGTATTGTAGGTCAGTTTTCTGTATAACTTTGTTTAGATACATTTTCTGTGGCCTATTAGATAAGAGAAAAACAAAATTCTGTACCTGGGAATCAATGTTCCCACTTACAAAAATTCCCCGGTATTTAAATTCCAGGACTTTTAGAGGATATAGGTTTTTTAATCTTGGAAACCAAGGGGTTGAGGTTTGAACTCTAAGAAAAGCAGCTAAATGCATCTTAAAGTAAAAACAAAAACAAGTGCCTTTAATTAGGAGAGACAAAACATTTGCAATCCTGGTGTGTGAACCAGTAAGGGTTGTGGGTACCTGGTAAAGGAAGCGCTGGCTGAACTGGTGCATGGCGCCCTGCAGCTGGCTGCGCTGGCTCTGCCACTGCTGGTAGTTGCGCACAGACTCGGCCGTGGGCCTCTGCCATGTGGTGGTTCTGGTGTTGTGGTCCACATAGTAGAACCTGCCTCTCTGGTCCACTCGTTTCTCCCAGCTTAAAGCGGAAATAAGTGGGAAATGACAAAGTAGGGTTGAGACAGACTGCAGCTTTCAAAAACATTTTTGTTTGACAAGTTGAGAGTGGATGGATGTTTCCGAATGTTGCTCAGCGTTTCTAAAGGCGAGGGAAAAGAAACAAAGACAAGAAAAGGAAGGAAAATAGTAAAAGGAGGCGATGAGCGAACGATGGCTGAGAAAGAGAAAAAACAAATCCAAAGATACCGTCTGAAAGAGAAGGAGAGAACATGCTTTTAAAATAGTGAAAGCAGACCTTTATAGATTACCTTATGAAAAAATACCCAAAAATGTATTTCTGCTGTCTATTCACAAAAAAAGCAATAGTTAAAGTAATCTTGATGCAAAGGTTATCGCCTCTGTGTCCATTTCTAAGACAAACTATATTAGAAAGAATTGGGTTTGGTGTCGATTCAAATGCCAAGAATAGATTAAATTCTGATTCTAAAAATCTAGAAGAGATTCTTTTGAATCTGGTCTGATCTCAGATTGGATCTCTGGTATGAAATACCATTTTTTGTTGACCATGTAGTTATTCCTCACATTGACACTGGTGTTACATTAACATTTATCAGCAAATTAATAAAGCTATGGTAGTAAATCACTGCTGAAACATTGTGAAATGGATATTGTTCTAATCGCAGGGTTCTCAACGGGGGGAAGCAAATTTTTATTTTTATTTTTTTATTCTCTCTTGCACCCATATGTTTCTTATTTTTGCCTCTTTGTCAAGTAAGCCCTCTCCTTTAAAGGGAAACGCCGTTTTTTTTTTTTTTTTTTTTTTACATTGGGCCCTTGATTTTACGTTATTAAATCATGTTCTACTCACCAATATTAGTTTTGTGTCATTTGGGGCCGTTCTGAAGATATTCCGTTATTGGTTATATCCAAGTAACGTCTTCCTATGGGCAACAACTTGAAGGCTCAAACTTAACTGTTCATAATGTATTATTTATGGTACGCCAGCATTCATAACATGTAGGCAAATCACTGTCCCCCAGACATCCGCGGATATATTTTTTATATTTATATCTTTTAAAATGAAGCGGCTCGTGTATAAAGTAGAAATGTGAAAACCCAGCCATGACGTTACACCAGGGGAGGCATTCCAGTTCCTTAGGGCTTGTATCCTGTAACTTTTATATGTGGCTTCGGCTCAACACATCAGAATCAAGTAATTAAATGAATGAGAGTACTCTGGAGGACTGACTGCATACTGAGGAGCGACTCAACCATTTGATTCAGGTGTGTTGGACCAAGGATGGATGCAAAAGTTGCAGGATACCGGCCCTCAGGAACTGGAACTGCCCACCCCTACGTTAAACTCATTAAAACTGAGCTTATTAGACTGATTTTATTGTTACTTTGACAAATTTTAGTGTAGTCAGTGGTTGCGCTGATATGAACTGGATAGGACCAGTGCGCTGGTAAGAAGCCCGAATCAATTTTCGTTTTTTTGAGTTGATGATTAGCAATTAATATCAGAATTTATTCAGAAAAACAGATTTTTTAAACACAGCCAAATAAAGGACAAATGGGAAATGGACAACATTTTCTGTTTCTGATCAGTTTTTTATGTAGTTTCTGTGTTAACTATTTCAGTCATTCCACTCAATAAGCTGAACGTTTATCATTGCAGATGAAGGAATTAGTTTCAATGGATTATTTCTGTAAACTTCTGGCTTACAGCAAATTAAATCTGATTTAAATTTTAAATGTGTGATCATGATGGGGAAGTATTATTTGGTTTTTATTTATTCTGAGCCCTGCTGTTTTTGCCAGTTGTCTTTTCTTGAAGTTTAATTTTCTTTTATCAAGAAGCAAATATACTTATTATGAAATTGCAATAATAAATGTAGAACATCAAGCCAAAGCCTGCTTCCGATTATGAAAATGAGCGAGAACAATGAAGCAAAGGTTTCTTGTTGATAAAAAGTTTGCATGACACAACAGTGTGTGTTTGCCAAATGATTGCCAATGGCATTACTCAGAAGTGAATGTATATTCTAGTTCTCCCTTGGGGCAGGAGGTCTGGACAGGAGCGGAGATAGTAGCAACCCACAGAAACACAAACACATGCACACACAAAGGACAGTCTTATAAAGGACACAGGAATGAACCTCATGCCAGAAAAAGGACTGACTGCATGTCTGCTGCTATTCTCATATCTCTGACCAAAGCGCCACAGAATTTGGAAGAGAAATAAGAATCGACTTCCTTTTGATTGCGGAAACACTGACTGGACTTCCAACACACTTCCAAAACTCGAGTGCAAAAACAAATAATTTCCCTTGTGGAACAAGATGGGTGTTTCACTGTCACCTACATTTCTTTAGGTCTTATAACCACAAAAGATAAACTGGGTCTGTACAGCTGCGTGCGTGCACAGCTCTGGACCCTATCTGAGCATGAACTCCCTCACTTTTAGCTTGCATGGCGTCCCACAGCTAAAACTTAGTAATGCGAACACACACCAACACACAGATTGATTTCGTTTCATCCTTAAATATTGCATCGACCTTTATGGTTTAGGGCATTTTATCCTTTATAACTAGGGGTGTAAATAATAATCGTTTTG